ACATTTTCTTCCCTTAATTTTTCTAAATGTTTTTACCTTTTCTAGGTTGCTAATGGATGATGAAATTGATTAACGAGTAGAAAATAAAGTTATAGAAACTTTTATATCAATTTTGCCTATATAGTTTGAAAGCATTTTTAATTCATTGATGCTTATGCTTACACTTTGATTTGATATTATAATTTATGCAGTATAAATGCAATTTAATTTAATTAACCTGTAGCTATATAAGTAGCTTATTATATACTTCTATGTGAAATCATCTTCTGTATAGGTAAAATTAAATATCACAATTTTTTATGGTGTTTGCCAAAGTGCATAGCACCATCCAGGCATTTTGCCACCAAAACACTTTGGACAAAACCAGCCTAGTTACCAGGTAATCCTCATTATTTCTTCTGCTCCCCTTTTGTTTGGCAATCTTTTCTTTCTTTTGGATCATCATTTTTCTCATTGTCTTTGGAAAGAAGTTATTTTTGATAGTCCTTAATTGACATTATTCACTCTTTTCCTCTATTCACACTTCAAACTTTGTTCAAAGCCTCTGTTAATATTTATCCAACTCTATCTTATATATAATTATTTCTGAACATGACTGGGTTATAGGGACATGCATTTGTAACCAGTATATTACTTTATTGCCTTAATGCTTTATGCAACAACTGACTTACTGCAGGTACCCTTCTGATGTGTGATAATGAAAATATCAAAAACATTTCTAAGTGTTATGAAGCCAAGAAGAATGGATTTTTTTTTATTTTCCAGACAAGAAAATTTGATATTAAATATTACCCATTTAATCAGGTTACTTAAATGATTTAGTCCTATTTATTAAAAGATTTTCCTCTAGAAGTCAGCCAAAAACAGGTGCACACACACCCCCACTACACATAAGTGCTCTCATAACACACATAAGAAAATATAATTTTATTAGACCCATATTCCTGTAAGTGGTTTCAGTGATTTTTTGCTTCCTGGTGGGTAGGTCAAGTTCTCCTTTTTAACTACACAGTTTGGTCTGGGACAACTGAACAGTCAATTCATAAATGTTTGAAGTGTCTCTTCCATTAGTCATAAGGAAAATTTAATGCACATACTCCTCACAGAAGTCATTTTAAAAATTGCTACTGGAAATCAGCAGCTAAGGCCCAGAAATTGAATTTAAAAAGTCAAAATATTTTTAGTGATATGTTCTTAGCCTAGAAGATATTTATCCAATTCTATTACACAGAATGGTACAATTCTTACAAAGAAATGTATGTAGGGTCACGTAAAGGTGTGTGAGGGTTAAGAATCCTTGTGTGCAAGGCTTGGGACAAAAAAAAAAAATGACCTTAGATCAGTTTGGAAGAGTTAAAGCAAGACTTCTTCCAGTATCAAATTTATTTGCTGAAAAATAAATTTCTTTGGTGTTTATTGTGACTCTTGCCTTCTTTTATCCTATACATCAATTTGATTCTGAAGTTAGATTAAGGCACAGAGCTAACAGGAGCCTAGGGCATCTTTAATATATAGTACCATCTAAAAATAGGTTCCAAAGTAAACATGTGGTGTGACTGCTGCTCAGAGGGCCCAGGACAGACCTTGGAGGTGACTCCTGTTGGGAGGACTATAACTGACCATCTGCTTAAAGTTCTTGCTTGATGGAAAACCACCAGAAGTCAGAAGACCTTCACTCCTCCCCTGCCATGTTCTCTCCCCATTAAGTCATTTAAAACTCAATAAACCGAAGGTATCAAGAGCAGAATCACAGCATAAAGGAACAGAGGTTCAGCAGACTAAAGCTCAAGCCTTCTCTAGCACTCCATGGGTCCCTTTTCACCAAGAACTTCTAAAGGTTTTTCACCCTACTATTCCTTTCACTCCCTATACTACTTCTTTCTGAAGTGAATTGCTGGCTGCTTTGGAATACCAATTTAATACTTCCACAGAATGAGGCTATTTAAAAAGTATAGTCATTCTATTCTGAAGATATTAAACCAACACATGTTTGCTTTCTTTGACCACATTTGTTTGTGCACAAGTTAAGTGGGTTTCTGCATTAGCTACATTATTCATAACATTAACTCAATTTTTTGGAATTCATATGTACTTTCTAAACAGGAGAGACAATACGCCAGGAAATTAAATAGCTCTTTTGAACTGTATAAGACTTACCAGCAAAACAGAGAACAGTTCTTGGCTATCGCTGAAGGTGAAAATTTAGCTTTCTTTGAGGACAAATTAAGTAATTCTGATTGGGGGGCATAGATGTTGTTCACTATGGTGAATATTATGGAATTTTTTTCTTCAGCATCTAAAGTTGCTACAGAAAAGGTGAGGACAAGGAACAAAGAAAAACAGAAAAGAACTCAGAAATTCATATTTAAAAAGCAAAATTGTTTTAGAGTTTTCATCCCTGTGGGTAGAATACTCTTCTCTTATTGCAGCATTTGTTTTAGTGACATTCCTTTACTTTAAAATAAAATTGAACTTAGACCTATTGGAAAGATAATAGCAAGGTAATAAAGAGTGATACCCATAGAAAGAGATGTTGAAGTCAATACTTTTTTTTTTGCATCAAGATTCTCAGATCTGTATTCTTCACACTGTGAAAAGAACTTAATAGTAAAAGACAAGTGACAACACTCAAAGCCTATAGGAAATCTAGCAACTGTCACTCTCTGTTAATGCATTCAACACAATTTAAGCATGTGAACTGCCTTTTGCTTTTGCATACACGACCACTGACTACTGACAACTAAGAAATTAAGTTAAAAGAAGTTTAGGGTTAGAAAACGCACTGTCACAGGTGGCCATGGCTCAGCTACAGTTTTTCTCAGCAAACTCACTTCTACTACTGCAACTGTTCTTGCAAACCTGTTCAGTTTAGGCTACAACCTCCACATGAATCAAATGCCTACAAGAACTCTTAAATACTACAAAGAGAATGGCCTTCCACTAAGGTCCACTGAAACGTTAAGTTCTTCTTTGCAAAATGACACATTTGGTAGTACTAAATTCATTGTCAAGTTCTATCACTGTCATCAGGTAATCCGGGTATCCGGTAAAATAAATTGTTACTAAGTAATCACTATAGTAAGACATGCCACCGATTAGGAAAAGTTTCACTTTTTTAAGCCCAGCATGCTCTTTTTGTTGAGTTGGCAAGAGGAAAAATTGAAAGAAGACCTGTCACAGTCTTCACATGCAACCAACATTGCAGAAGTTTCATATCTAAAGTAAACTATGAATGACTAATTCAACTTTTTGTAAGTGTTTTGGATATTTAAAAAAAATTATCCTTATAAAAATTCACACTTTTCTAAAGGGGAAGATGATAGCTCTTTGCTTTTGTATTACATAACCAACACTAAAACTTTGGAAGCCAGAGACTATAGAGCATTCTGAGTCACTTAAATTACAGCATCCTTAAAAAGCAAATGGACTTTTGGAACACTAGAGATTCACTGTATTTAAAAATCATTGTAGGCAGGGCTTCCATTGTTTAAATATTTAATATTTTATGCATATGCTGACAGGCCTCTACTTAAGTGCCCCAAACTTTGAGAATTTCCTTTCTCTAGAAGAACCCACAAGTAATTATTAAACCACAACACAAGAGTTCAGAATAAATGGCAAGACACTTCAAAAAATAACTGTTATGTATGATTTGCATTGCACTGTTTATAGCTAAACACAAATATTAAAATGGGCTCTGTAATTCAAACAAGTTATAATACCAGGAAGCAAGGTGATTTGAAAACATTTTATGAACTCAAGAGACAAGCAACCCTTAAAGAAAATAAAGAATACAACTCACATTCCATTTTAGTCACCTAGGCTTTGTTTGCAAGGAAAAACTAAGTTCATCAACTACTGGGGCTAAATCAAACAGTCCTCACACTAAAAGGAAATTTTGGTTACAAGAGCCTAAAAGAGCGTGTGTCAATTAAGAGCAGAATCAAGAATTTTGATGTCCTGATTTTTCATAGATAATGAGTTTCCTTCATACTTCTCAATTTCAGAATTAGATATACTCCTATTTCCCCTCTTCATTTACCATCAGATACAAAATCAGATAATGTTTCCATTCACATAGATTCGAAAAGATCTTCATCCTGTGTGGGTCATTTTATTTTTTAGTAGCCAAGGGAAAGAGGTTGCTGCCAATATGATGTTCAGGCCATGCAGAATAAAGGCTCAGTCCTGGGCAATGAAACAGTCCACCTTTGTGCAGCTCTTGTGGAAGAAGAATTCAAGCCCATCACCAACTTTGGGACTTGATCAACAGTAGGGAGTCACAAAACTCTTTTCAATCACTGCATTTTAAACCTCCACTAAAAATAGCTCCTCTGTGCTGGAGCTTAAAGTCCCATCTATGGCTAGTGATGGAGTACAGTACTTAATTGTTTCTGACTAGGGTCCTGCATCAGCACTCTGAGAGTGTCTTCTAACTTTTAATCGCCTTGTATGCTCTTTCATTTGACCTGTTCACAAGACAGCCAAAGGAAACTGCCTACCAGTAAGCCTACTCTAGACGTTAAAACAGGCCATTTCACAAGTCCGGCAACTTTTCTGCAATGCTAACCATCTTCCTGTATTCTAAAATCAGACACACTTGGCGAAGGAGGTAGGCTCTGTGGCTGCTAAGACAGCTCCAGTGTAAAGACACTGCCTGGTGACAATACTCTCCCTGTCTGTCTAATTTCCTTTCTTTATTTTGGTCTATTACCGCATGTTATCTGTTTGCTACTTCTAGGGCTGAAGGGAAACACGTCTTTGGAAGGAAAAGCACTTGGTCCACTCACTGAAAGGAATACTTAAGGGCTAGGATAATTAGAAAAGATCTCTATTCTCCCAGAAGGATTTCAGAGCACGAATTATAGAGAGACCCCTTAACTTAGGGGGGAGATGCAAACAGCTAAAGTGTCTGTCCTTGGCCCCCACAAGTGACCTGAGGGAGGACCAACCTACTGGCAGCGCCCCTCAGCTCAGGTCACTCACGCTCCTGGACTCACCTGGTGCTGAGGACCAGCGCCGGCAGGAGAGGCAGCAAGTAGTGCGCTGGGATGAATTTCATGCTTGTCGCCTGCCGGGGTCCTCCTTTCCCCGCTGCCTTGGCTCTCCCTCCTTCTCCGGGTCCTGTCGCTCCTCTGTGCAGGGCTCTGTCCCCGGCCGGCAATGACCCCTCTCCAGCAGTGGACGGAAGGAAACCGACAAACGGACGGACGCCTCGCGAAGGCAGGCGCTTAGAGTGGGGAGTATCTCCGGGAGTGATGTCACCGGCGAGGCGAGCCCGGCCTGGGATTGTTCGGCGCCGCCGCTCCCGAGCCTGGAGGGCGCGTTGTCACTCGCGCTGGAGGCGGCGCGGGGAGAGGGAGGGGTGCCCAGCGATGGCCCCGCGCGCTCCGGTCAACGGGCTGCGCTCACCCGGCTGCACGCCCGCCTGGGGCTGATCTTTTATTCCCACTTCTCCAGAAGATGCGGAGGGGCGGGTCGGGGGCCAGGAGAGAAATCTAATCTGCCAGTAACTGAACCGGCGTGCGCGGCAGGAGGCGAGACAGAATTCACAGGGAAAGACTTTCAGAGGCTCGAGAGTCACAGACAGGTGTCCTCACCTGATTAAACAGTGTTTGGAAAAACGCTGCTCTGGAGACAGTGTTTAAAATATTGTTCTAATTAGAAACGCATAAGGATTCCTCTGATGCGGACGGAAGGACAGCAGGAGTGAGCAGCGTCCAGAAATGCACCCCGGGCTCCTACTGCCACTGCAAGATTCCTTCTTAGTCCGCAAACGTGTACTATAAAGAGATTTCCGGACAGTTAAGTCGTCAGCTGTCTCTGTGTTTTGAAGATTTCTGATCTTCCTCTAATTTCAATTTGCTTGTAGTGGCAACTGGCCGTGGGGTTGGAGCGGGTGGCCCAGTTTCAACTCACCTAAAGGGTTGCTTTTCTTCAGGTGAGGATATGTAACTGAAAAAGTCATCAAAATGTTAACAGTAATTAGCTCGGAGTGATGGTTTTGGAAAACAGAAGATTTTATCTTTAATTTTGTTTTCTATATTTTCCAAATTTTCTATAATTAACAGCTGATATTTAGTAAGCTTTATTCTGAAAAAAAAATTAGGAAAATGAAATAGCAGAACTCTAATACAAAATAACATTTTGCAAAAGTAATTTTAGGAAATAGCCAAGTTCATCTACTGAGATACTCTGTTCTAGAATTTTCACAACATGGTATATGTAATTTTTTAAAATATTCCAGCTGTATATCCTGGATAGATAGTTTATAAAACAGTATTCTACACATTATTTCATTTGATTGTTATAAGAGTCAACCTAGAGAAATATGAATTATCTGTATTACAGAGATGAGGAAACCAAAGACCATAAAGATCTGAGCTGAATTTTTTTTTCTTTTTCAATAAAGAACTGGGTTCTTCTAAATCTTAAGCAAATCCTACTGTTGCCTGGAACATCCAAACCTAGCATAACTAGCCCAGTGATTAACACAAAGTTGATGTTCAACAGAGGCTGACATGCACCAAAGACTCTAGATGGCAAAGGTCAGGTGGTCTCTGGGAATTCATATCCAGATGGTTCCAGTCATTCTCCAGTTTTTTCACGGGCTAGTAATTTATAATAAAATTTAGATGAAACATCCCCTTTAGTTTAGTTTTTGAAGACAGTTGTAGGAAGAACCCATGTGTTATAAAGCTTTATTTTAAAGAGGGTACAAGTTTAAAGAATTAACTGTCTAATTTACTGACCTATTTTTGTTATTGCTTCTAATGGGTTTAAAGTAAAACACTCACAGAACAGGTATCACTTTAAAATCCCGGGTCAATAAAATAGATGAGTAATAACTTTGGCAAACTGGATACCATCCTCTTGGGCCGTAGTAACACACACTACAGATACAACTAGGCATATACAAATCAACTCACTT